AAAAAAAAAAAATACAAATCTTTAAACATCTTACATGAAATCAATATATTACCTAATGTTTGCTGAGCAAAAAGATTTTTATTACTAACGTTTTCAACCTCTATAGTATGGGTCATCCTCAGGTTTTAGAAAATAATGTAAATGTTCCAAAAATGGAACGTATCGTTTTTCGAATTTATAATATTTCAAATTAAAAAAAAAATTGGACTAATTACTAGAACCGCTGTATAATAAATAAACAATAAAATAACTAAATGAATAACTAAAAGTACGTATTAAACATCAAGTTAACCATAGTGAATATATGATTTAAGGGTTTTTAAGCCCCATTCTTTTTTCTATTATATATTTCCACGCTGTTGGAAGTGCATTAGAATCCATAGCATTTAGGAATCGTTCTTTTATTTTGCTTTTGTAAATTTATACTTTTTCCAACGCAATGAATGAGAGTGCACTGTTTTATTGACGTTCGCTTCCTCCCACTTTACAACTACTCCTTCTGTTTGTGCCATAATTTGTGCCATAATCCTTTTTCAACGTTGTACATATGTTCGCTCAGACGTACTGCAAGATTTCTTCGAGTCACACTTACATAATCTTTTGTAATTCCTAACTGTTGGTTTTTAAATGGTATTTTATATACTCCATATTTCTCTTCCTTTTTTAGTATGTCTTTTTGGTTTCGTAGTAAACTATAAATATTGGGTGCTCTTTTATAAATCATTCTCGACTTTTTATAAGATGCTAATTCATTCGCAGCACCACCCAATCGGTTGTTGTATGTGAATTTATTAATTCTATCGAAGTTAGCATGTTTTTTATTTTTATTTTCTTTGTAACATCTGACCAGCCGTTCAATTGTAGCGGTTTTGTAACCTAAATTCGTTGCAATTGTATTAATCTCTTCGAGACAGTCCTGAATGTTGGTACAATGTAAAAATTCCCTTCTGATTAGTGCCTTAAACGCCGACAACATATTTATACGAGTCGTTGGACCAAGAGTGGAGCACGAATGGGTTTTAAGTATACACTTGTGTGTTTAATTCCTTGTTTAAATCTTATATTAATGTCCAAGAAATGGAGGTGAGTAAAGCTTTTTAGCTCCAGTTTTAGTTTTAAACCACGATTATTATTGTTGATCGCAACTAAAAACCTGAGGATGACGTATACTATATTCGAAGGTAGGGGTGTAGAGTTTAAAGAATTGTTTAATATGAAGTATAGCCGGGAATCCCAATAGTAAAAGAAATATTTTTTTATATTTTACTATTCATACCGAATAAAAACGTAAAAATAATTAATTTTACAAATGCAAATAATTTATAGATTTACTGTAAGAAATATAATTAAAAGCTGGTTCCAAACAAATTATAATTATCAAAATAGATATTTTTGCCACAAACTAAAATAAAATAAAAAATTTCTCACGCCAACTTCAAAACTCAAACAAGTCACTGTGAGCAAATGACTAAGGAAGAATAATTAATGGGTTGATACGCTACATATCAATAATAGTAAATATTAATTAAGTAATTAATTATTTGTTATATACCAACTATCAGATCTTCTTAAAAAGACTTGTTAATTAGAAATAATAGCAATGTCAACGTATTAAAATTCAGCAATGAGCTGCATATCATTCCCGAGAAAAAGGTTAAAATTTTCTGTAGCCTCATCTGTTATGAAAGTTTCTTTAAAAATTTTCATTTTATCAGTTATTATAAAATTGCAAAAAGTTTAATTTTCAGGGTATAAATAAGTTTTAAAAAAGTCTGTAAATGCTAATAATGTGTAAACCATCATTAACTCTAACCACACATATAGGCCTAACAAATTTTCTTTTTATTTCTCCTCATCTTTCCGATCTTTAACCACCAAAATTTCATAGTATCAATGTCGCTCGTATCCAAATCACCATACAAAATTTCAAAAAGTTTCGACAAAAGGCAGAGGATTAATTAAGCTTCAAGTCTCATACCTCTATACATACGAACACTGACATTGCGAACATGTATTATCTGCCTTCGATTACGTTTATATATAACCAACTGTTGGTAACAGTGGAAATTTAAGATACACTCGTATAAGTCTTGAAATTTTCACACATTAAAGAGAAAAATATTGATGTTTTAGCCCTTTGCAAGAACTTATTTGCTGTTACTAAAGTTTTTTCCTAGATGTTTTTACAAGACTCGCAGATCGATCAATTATAGGTTATTGTAACATTAACACAAATAGGTATACTGTATTATAAAAATATAAACAAGAAAACATTAATTGTGAAATATTTCTTTACAGGTTTTCAAAGAAGATTTATTCAAAGTTATATACCTTTTGGTAATAATAATTATTTCATGTATGGCAATCAGGTGAGTGTATCAGAAAATTATAACATATATTTTTTCATAATTTATATTTTTACAGATATGAATTATAATCTAGAAATTATAATTTGTATCTTTACTCCACTCATGAATTACTGTATTTCAATATTAAAACGATTAGTCTTTCTGGTGCTACATTTGTCTGTCTTAAAGTAATTGTTGTCAGTTAACAATCAGAATATTAAAAAGCAATTTTTTAACCTTTACAATAGTTCACATTATACACTGGCGGAAATTGAAAGTGTTACACCCAGATGGAATTGATAGAAATTCACGAAACTTGGTAAACATGTACAGGGGCATACCCAGAAGAAATGAANGATGGAAGGAGAGACAGCGCACCGGAAGTGACTTACTCAGAGATGCTTTAAAGTAACAAAGGTTTAATGGGTAACAAGAGGCCATACATTTCGATTTTAAATATACTAGTTTTTTGGTACATTTCTACGATTTGACATGATAGATATTAGCTGTATTTGATATTACGTTTTTCCCCGATTTGAGAGAGAGAGTTTACAGAAGTTTCGCCCGGCGATAAATACCTGGTTTGCTGTCTTGATTGAGATTCTCGAGCGTTCTTGGTGAAGGGAAGAAAGTTCGGAATGTCAGTCCGGGTATCCGGTAGAGGAAGTACCCGTAAGAATGATAGAACAGTATCTGCAAAGGTGTTAGTCGATGGTTCCGATGATCTTTTTGTAAGATATATTCACAGATATCCGAATATTGAGGCACTTAGGACAAGGTACGAGTGACAACTTCTCTTTCGAAAGACGGGCGACGACTGCCTCACTTTGTTGTTCTGTTCTAATGTTGTATGGTTGAAATCGAGATATTAGGTCGAAAGACGCTGAGAAAGCGTCGTTATTAAGCCTGAGAACTTAGCAGCTGTTCATCTCCCAGGTGTGAAAGTTGACAATTATTGAATGAAAGTATGGCTACAATGTGAAATTATGATGTAATGATATAAACGCACGGAAAGTCTGGATTCGGATCCTCACAGTACAATTCAATTGTAAAAACAACCGATTGTAGACCGTCAGCAACTGACAAATTATACATGTCTTCTTTATTTATGTAAAACTTCTTATTGATGCTATCAATGACAAATTATCATAATTTATATTTACATTCAATTATAAGTAACTCAGAAAATTTTAATGTATTTACACAAATTATGTTGGAGTAGGTAAACTTGAATTCATATTGACTTATTATTATATTATTATCATTAATAATACAAATATTTGAGAACCAATGGCGATTCTTTAAATTATAATATACATGTTAATTTACCTATCTACAATATTAGGTACTGTATTACTAATAGGCTAACGTATTTTTTATTATTTATCAATTCCATGCTTCATATTTCAGAATTTATTACAAATGTATCAACAAGGACCAATGAGACAGGAGCTTCAATCCCCTGGAATGATTGCATATGGGCTCCCTCCTTCTATGATTGGATATGGATCATCGCTAATATGATTGGTTACGGACCATATCCTAATATGATTGGTTACGGTCCAAATCCTAATATAATTAATTATGGACCACCTCCTAATATGATTGGCTATTGGCAACCAGCAGAAATGGTTGTTCATGAATCGCAACCAGGAATGTATTATGAGCAGTCAGAGCAGCAGCTGCAGCAAGGACAGCAGCAAGAATTATCTGAAATTGAGCCGCCAATTGAAGTAATTGAATATCAGCAGAAATCACAGATTCCTGGTAATGAGTCTTCTGCCCAGAATACTTCAACAGAAGAACAAGATTCGAATCTGTTATTACAAACGGGCAACTTTTTATCAGATCCGAATTATCTGCCTCGTAATGGTAAATTTTATCAATATTGAATAAAAATAATATGATAGAAATCTCAAACAATTATATTAATGTTAACATAAGTACAGTTACATGAACAGTCATATTTCATGGAACTGCTGAAAAGACCAATGACAGGAAGAATGTAAATAGTTTATCTCCGAAGCCCATGTCCTCGGAATATAAGTTATAACAGCGGGAGCCATAATCTGTATAATTAAATTTTAATTACAAAGCATAAAAAATCTATATACATAATTAAAAATGGATTAAGAAAATAAAAAGGTGATAAATCTTCCTGTTCCTGGTTATTCATATCTATTGTTGACTTTGCAGCAAAATTTTCGAGCTTGTTAAATTAATTAACTACAGTATATAATTAACCAGCTGGAAAGTCATGACATTAATATTTCAATTCGAACATTAATCGATTCTACTTTTACTTGTGTTTACATATTTTCTATATTTGAACATTTTTAGTCAGCGATCAAAGTTATATTGTATCTCTGAAATTCCAATATTATTTATCCTTATTGTTGGATATGCGTAATTACGTGCACTGGTTAAATGAAACTGATAAAATATCTCTCAGAAAGAAGGAATTTTATTCAACAGCAACTAATTATTGCAGATATTTTTTTTATTTCTCAGTCATTTAATTTATTGTAGCTTTTATGTAACGTCATATAAAATTGGTATGAGAAAAAATGTAAAAATAATAACGATTATTCTAAGGATATACAAACGGAATTAATTGATTTGGTCTGTAAACGGATCAATGAATTATTAATGTTATAGCTTCAGTTAAATGTTTGACTATAATACTTCACGCTTAAAACAACAATTTATGTACAGTACATTAATAATATATTGATAACTTTTGTGCTTTTCCAATCATAATTCAATTTCGAAGAATTATTAGAAAAAAATTAATTAATGTTGATAACGTTTATAACAATATATATGAATCTTAAACTTTGATATAAAGTTATAAATAGAAAAAAAACCTATAAGAGTAAATGAATATGCTCAGATAAATCTGAAAAATTTCTTTTTCATTAATGATTTGATAGTTTTTTCTCTTTATACTTTAGTTTCTGAATCAGCTGATAGAAGTGGAATTTCTGAAAGTAATTTAAAACAAAATATTCATCCAGTCCTTAATTCAGAAAAAGACGTTCTGGACGACGATGAACCAGAAGTCATGGAATATATAGTTAAAAACATCACATTTTCCGATATTTTTGATGAATCTAATGATACAGAAGAATACTCTGATGTAAGTATAAATTTAATAAAATAATTCCAGATAAGTTTCTTAAATTTTTTGTCGTTTGGAAGATGATTATTGATTAATACGACGTTCTTATATTAAAACGCATTAATAAATATAAGTTACAACTCACATAAATTCACTTCATATTACTTATGAAGTTGCTCGTTGTTTAGTTTTTAAAATTGATATGTTCATAATTGATGCAATATTTCGGTTATAGATTATATTTAGCAGTAATTCATCTCATTTTAGGTGAGAACAAATTTATTAAGCTTAATACTTAATAAATATTTTAAAATCTTAATTTTCAGAAATCTGATCAAGAGATAGAACTAATTGTTCCTCTATCTCAAGCAGAGGCCACGTCGAGTGTTTATAAAGAGGATAAAAAACGGCCTTTACTTAGAGATTTCATCGAACTCGAGCGCCATTCATTAGTTTCGGAAGTAATTTATGAAGAAGAGGAACCTGAATCTGGAGACGATGGATCAGAAAGTGATGGTAGCTTTCATTCAGACACCATCTTAATTGATTATGAAGAATGTAATGTTAACGTCAGCACAACTGATGTTTCGAAGAACTGTAGTACTGAAAACAATGCATCAGTAATTACCGAAGAAGAAAACTCTGTTGCAGCTCTGTTGCAAATCTTGTCTCATTTAGCAGAAAAGAGTAAGTCTTCGATTTCGTCTGCTGAACAGAAAAATCTAAGTGTTCCTCTATCTCCAGAAGAAATCACGTCAAGTATTTATGAAGAGGATAAAAAACGGCCTTTGCTTAGAGATTTTATCGAACTCGAGCGCCATTCATTAGTTTCACAAGTAATTTATGAGGAAGAGGAACCTGAATCTGAAGACGATGGATCAGAAAATGATGGTAGCATTCATTCCGATACTATCATTGATTATGAAAAGTGTGAGGTCAACATCAGCGGAACAGATTTATTGAACCAATGCCACATTGAAAACAATGAATCAATAATTGCTGAAGAAGAGAAGTATGTTGCAGACGTATCTCAATTAGTAGAAAAAAGTCAATCATTGACTTCTCTAGATGTCAAACTATGCAATTCAAATTTATCTATCGATGAAACGTCAAAAGTTTCTAATGAGTTTCATCGTTCGAATACATTTAGTAACGGATTTGAGGAAGAAGAAAATCAAAATAAAGCAAACAAAGAAATATTACAATCTAATTTTGACATTGTAAAACATTTACAACTTGATAAGAATTATGCTGAAGGAGCAATTGAAGTTGAAAAAGGTAAGATCATATCAATAAATAGTTAAAGTTACGTTTGGGACTATTTTTATAATTCAATACCTTTCAGACTTTTTTCATAATTAAACAATTATACAAGTTTTAAATTCATTTGCATAAAAAATGTTTACGTAATGATTAGATAATATTCGTAGGTCCAAAATACATTTCAAGTATTTGAGTAATTACGAAGTAATTTTAATAAATAATTAAACATACAATTAATTGCATATCTTTAGTCTTTTCAGACTGTTTGGTATAATTTTTATTATACGTATTATTAATGACATTAGATTGGAAAATACTCTAAAATTTCGTTTTTTAAATTAAAAATATCTTATTTTGTGATTACTGTTTAATTAACTATTTGAATTCAATCAATGATTGTTTCACTCTGTGCGCTTTGTCATACATAAGTGGCTAATTATTATTTTAAGATAATTTGATTATTGTATTGATTTTTGACGGATGTTTGAGAAGCGTATCCATTCTGCTGCAGTTTATTGTTGTTATTGAATTTATAGTTAATGACTGTGTTATAATTTTTATTAAGAGAAAAATACGACAAGTATGCTTAATTTACAATATCATTTTATTTGCAGTTATGGATGTCGATTATTCAAGTTTACCAGAAGAGGAATTATCTGCAAAATCTAAGAAAGAGGTTAGAAAATATCTTTCACTTTTACTTTTACTAGTTTAATGAACAGATCTTCATCTTATGCTAAACTCTCACTCACGATCACATATTAATTTTATGATTTTCATTTTTAATTCATTTTTTAAAAATTTAAAAAGTAATATTATATTTATTTACATTGAAAACATTGTGTTTTATTAAAAATTACAAATGTAACAATATTATATTATCTAAAATTTGAGAGTTTAAAGTGAACATATCACATATTGGTGTTGATGATTTTAATTCAGATTTTTAAAATTATTTTTATTTAAGAACGACTAAAATTGTTTATAAATTAAGTACAATTTTTATATTTATTTACTACTTTTGTTATATTTAAAGTCTTTCTTTATTGCACATCTTTAAGTCATGAAATTCATTTAATCAGTCCATTCGTAAATATATAATGTTTATGGCATCATTTCATCTATTTTTAATAATATATAACAACAGAATTTCAATAAATAACTAGGTTTTTTCATTTATTTATATGTTTTTTCACTGTGTCTCCAATGATTCTATACACTTTAAATAATAGCACGAAATTATTGGATTTATAAAGTATATGTTCAAAATTGAAAAAACAAATGTTTATACGCATTAAATATTACTTTGAGAATGGTCAAAGTTAGGAAAAGACAAATTAAGATATTTAATTATTGGAGAATTTTGCGTTACAAGCGAACATTTAATCATTTTTGCTTGTCGTTCACAAAATTCTTTTAATTTGATTAAAGTCCTTTCTTAATATTTGGCATTTAAATATAGTTTTCATATTTATCCATTTTTGATAACATTTAAAGAAGACAACGCGTGTCTTTCTAATAGGAAATTTTCAACTCATTTAAAAGATTTAAATATGCCGTTTTTTCATTATTTCCCATTATTTATTGTAATAATTCTTGCATTACTTTCGTAGTATTATTTTCGAACCAACAATTTATATAATTTAATCTTCATATATCATTTACGAAATGTTTGTGTCTTTTGCAGGAAACGACTAAATGTTTTGATATTTTTGTGGCATTTTTCCGCCAAATTTCATCCACCATCTCTTTTGGTTGCAAAAGAAGAAAATAAAATGGCTATTCATTTATTTGGTTTTTGAGTGCTGACCACCATACGCAAAATCAATCGGGATGGCAACCAAAATAGTTCAAGAAAAAGTTTATAATTCAAAACTTAAAAATAGTCTATAAATTAAAACTTAAAACAAAGATTAAAATTTAATCTTTAAAAAAATGGTTAAAATTTAAAACTTAAGTTTATAGTTTAAAACTTAAAAAGAAAAAAAACTTAAAAAANATTATTTAAAGTTACTTTATAAAACTGTTATAGTTTGAAATGGCGAATAAAAATTAATATAAGATTAATAATTTATATTTCATTTATATAACATTATAAAATATAATTTAAATATACAAACATTAAATATATACAAGTTATTTAAAACTATAGATGAGCGAGGCGATGCTCAGGGAAAATTGGGACTTTTTAGAGAAGTCTCTAAATATCTCTTATTTATCAATCCATTAGTTTTAACTAAAGCATTTTTTAATCAAATTCCAGGAAAACTGTAAATGTTTTTGACAGGTACTTTGTTCACTTTTATGGAAGCTTCAGCAGCAGTACAATGTTCTAAGACAAAGTCACTTGGTTGCAACTGATTCTTACCAAATAAGGAAAATTGTTTTCAGAAATTGAAAACACGTTGATCGATGATTATTGTCTAATTACTTGGTCCAAAATTTGCTTGCAGATTTCAACATCGACCATAATGGAGTCTTTTGTTTCAAGCTAAAATTGTGTTTCATAACCAGTTGAATATTTTCTAGTAAATTAAAATTTTATAAATAAATCATCAAATGAAAAAAATAAATATTGGATTGACAGTTCAATGCATCGATATATTAATATATGTGTTGTCTGTCAAGGAAAAGATGCGTCCAGTAAGGTGTTACATGGAAATCCAGTCACTATTCAGTTGTTAGATACGTGAATGAAAAATACCAGAAAACATCACTCAGCCAGCTTCTTAGTTACGCTCAGAATACAATATTCATTGATTATACACATATGGCCATAAGTGAGGGGAATGAAAAAATAGATATAGAACTGAAGAATATTAAAAACAATGCGGTGTATGGAGTGCACCATCAATAAATCACTTAATGGTAATTAGTTCAGATTAATCGTATTTTTAAAGTACCGTATCATATTACACCATTATGCTGAACAGTTTGGAAATTTGTTTCTTTACTGGTAATGCCTAGAATGCTACAGAAATTCTAGTTGACAGAATTGAACACATTTATTTAAGTGTAAGTGCTTACACTGGCAAGTTTTTAATTACAGTAACGAAACAACCACAATATGTTATTTCTCAGCAGTGGCGTAGCGTAGTGGGGGCGGCACTTTTTAAGGGGAGGCAAAATTTCACAATAAATAATAATCTTGTAAGAATTTGAACCATTTTATTTCATATTGTCGTCCACCTACGATTCGGACCGATTGAAATGAGCACGGAATAGTGTTACCATCCGGACAGTCTGGGAATCGACAAACCGTCTGTGCGCTGCCTGTCGACCTTTTTTTTTTTTTTTTGCTTGTACGATTTATTCGTATATATCAGGGGTCGCCAAAGTGGTCGATATTGACCCCCACGTGTCGATATAACATTATTGGGGGTCGATTATCAAGATTAAGGTAAGGTTAAGGGGGAGCTAAGGATCAAGCTTATCGGTCTCACTGATTGTCAGTTACAAAAATTATTATTAAGAAATATACAATAAATGAAAAAAAATGCAAAATTAAAAGAATTGTATTAAAATAGTAGAGAGGTTGCGGCCGACGTTTTCATCGCGAAAACGTGTACGTCGGACGTTCAGCGCCGCCTTCCTGTAAGTCTAGAAGTTTGATAATGGCGTTTGATACGTCGAGCATGATTCCACTGACGTTCCAAACGCCATTGTCAAACTTCTAGGCTTACAGGAAAGCGGCGCTGAACGTCCGACGTACACTTTTTCGCGATGAAAACCTCAAACGCAACCTCTCTACTAAGTACTTTGTTTTGCTTGTAACATAACAAAGTACTTAGTAGAGAGGTTGCGTTTGATGTTTTCATGTATACACCTTCAATTGAAGGTGTATACATGAAAATATCAAACGCAACCAAAAAGTTTATGTATACACCTTCAATTGAAGGTGTATACATAAACTTTTTGGTGGGGGTCGATGTGAGGTTTCGAAAACTTGTAGGGGGTCGACGATCAAAAAAGTTTGACGACCCTTGGTCTAGGGGCCTCTTTGCCGAGACGGTCGGCCCACGAGGACCGACACTACCGTCAGGGCTAACGACACCTTTCGACGCAAAGGACACGTACGATATCGTTGCCGCGGCTAGGGGGGATTCTGACTTAGAGGCGTTCAGTCATAATCCCACGGATGGTAGCTTCGCACCACTGGCCGCTCGACCAAGCACATGTACCAAGTGTCCGAACCTGCGGTTCCTCTCGTACTGAGCAGGATTACTATCGCAACGACTAGTCATCAGTAGGGTAAAACTAACCTGTCTCACGACGGTCTAAACCCAGCTCACGTTCCCTATTAGTGGGNTTCATATGTCAAATTATATGTATCAAATTATAATATATAATATGTCAAATTAATATATAATATATAATGTATAATGTATAATATGTCAAATTGTATGTATCAAATTCTTATTTAATTAAACTCCTTGTAAGTAAACTAAAACTACTTGTCCCTTTAACTAAAATAAGATTCTCTTCATAAAATACAAAATATTATATATGTGAATACTATACATACTATTTACTTGAGTAAGTTTTATTTCGAAGAAAATCAAAAATAAAGATAAATTTTTGAAATTTATTGAAAAATATAAAAAATGAATGTTTAATTCAATGAAAAATATCATTACTCGAATATTTCTTGTTTTTCTCTAATATTTTCGATGAAAGTAACTAGAAATTCTGTCGTCGAATAAAATTGTTAGTAGAAAAACAATCAGTCGTTTATGGAAAAGATAGGGAAAGATTAAATTCCAATCTTTTAACTCTCTTCGCCCTGTGGACACTAACAGAATCTCCTGTTAGCAAGCCCATTAAAGGTTCACCCACAGTGGCGTAGCGTGGGTGGCGTAGCAGAGGAAAATGTCGTTCCCCGGGGCGGAGGAAAATTTCGTTCCCCCTTATTTAGGTATCTCAATTTAAAAGACTAAAATTCAGTTTCGTCACAGAATAAGTAATGAAAAATTCCGTGCTAGTGTTGCCACTTTTTTTAAAATCGCTGACCCGGACGGCAGGTGAGGTTTATTCGAACAGAAGTTCCCGACGCATTTTGCAATGCGAAGAATAATTTGCAGTGCATGTCGGTTCTAACTCAGTTACAGTTAGCGACTAGGGAGACTTGGATAGGAGTAACGCAAGTGACCTAGCTCTATTGGATATTGAAGGTGTATACATGTACGAATAAATCGTACAAGCAAAAAAAAGGGTCGACAGGTCGCGCACGATATCCCCGGGTGAAATTAACAGTTCACACGGTGAGTCGATTCCCGGAATGTCCGGATGGTATTCCGTGCTCATTTCAATCGGTCCGAATCGTAGTGCACGAAAATATGAAATAAAATGGTTCAAATTCTTACAAGGTATTATTATTATTTATTGTGAAATTTTGCCGCCCCCACTACGCTACCCACAATGGGGAGGCTGGGTGATGAGGGATGGGGCCAGACGTAGCCAGACGGAGCAACTATGAGTTACCGTAATGGGTGACACCACCCTAGAGACGCCGATGTATTGTTACAATAGATTATTTCGACGGTCGGATGGCCGAGCGGCCAAGGTGGCAGGCTACCGCTCTGGGGGACTAGGGATCGAATCCGGACGGGTCGAAAAAGTTCCAGGAATTCCAGGGCCCTCATCACCCGAACGCCCCATTGTGAGCCTGGCCGAACCCATAATGGGCTTGCTAAAAAGAGGCCCTCTTAGAGCCCACAGGGCGTAAAGAGTATAAAAAAATTACTTTATGTCTATTGTCTGTTCTTACCAAAATTATGAATTTTCCAATTATAGTTGTTGATTTATATTCTGTTCATTATTTTATTTGTTACATCATAAGACGATACAGACTAATGGAGATTAATTATTTACATATTTTTTTTCTAAAATTGAGTTGACAAATGTAAAGTCGAAAGTGTAATATCACAACACAAAACGCTAAATCACGTTTATAGTATCTCATTTATATGTTTATGTACTACGTATGAATTAAAATAAAATGGCTTTCGAACTACAATATTTATAAGTCAGATATTTTCCGGTATTAATTTTATAAGTTATAGAAAAAAGAACCTCGTAAATCAGTCTAGGTAATCAACTTCAGAGGCTCCATTGCTGACAATGATATTAATATTGGAGGATTATTAGAAACATGCTGTAATTATGAAAAGTAATTTTTCGCTCTCGACCTTTCCTAAAAAGTAACTCAACCTATAACATTAAAGTAAAAATATTTTTCAAAAAGCATACTTTTCATCAAAGATCAAACTCTCAATAAACATTCAGATGGCATCCGAATGACCGAAGCGGTTAACTGACACAGCAATCAAGATATATACACTTTTTTTATTATATCAGTTACGTTTGCATTAGCATATAATTGGGGAATCCAGGATTAAATTCAGGCGCTCAAAATACCTTGGAAATTTTGCCGGTGTGCTCTGTTCCAAATATATTAGGCCATTCCCTCACCACGAATCAGCCACTATTGCAGATCTGACCAAACCCATGATGGATATGATTAAAATGACTTCTTAGTTCCCACAAAGAGAAAAGTGTATAAAAAAACAACTCAAACTCAGTTTTTCATTATGATAATTTTTATTTAACAGGTATTAACAAATCTTTCATTTACAAATAGTCTAGTTTTTTAATTCCTTTACACTAAAAGTTAAAATTCATTTTCTGTTTATTTCGATTAAAAATCAATTGGAACAGACAAGTTAATGCTCAAAACTTAATACATTCATTGTATTTTAATTTAGTTCTTTTTAATTTTTTTAAATAACTGTTTACATAAAAGTATAAAACACAAATTTATAATACCGTACTCAAGTAATTTCTGTATTGGAAATCAATTGAATATAGCGTTACTTAATTAGTGAG